ATGCCTCCTGACACTAGTTGATATCGACCTCCCAGGTGCATCTTTTCTGGTCTGGCCAGCCTCCACTCGCCAGCATGTATCCTCAGGTGTGGCCTGGAAGTCCCAGGCCAAGCCACCCCAATTACTCTGAGGGTTATTTCTCTGGAGCCAAGTATAAAGGCCATCTTACTTAGGGTAAAACTGGGTCCTTTTACCCCACATATCTCATGTTGTATAATGGATTGTTTCTTAGGCAAGATTAATGGCAGTTAATCAATTAGGCAATAAAATATGACCAGAACACCCCAGTTCTGTTTCTAAAGTATCAGGAACTGAAACTACCATCATCTGCTTTCAGTTAACATCTTATTGTATAGAAATTGTTAAATGGGAACCTAATTTGCTATGTAAACTTTCACCAAAAACACAAGAAAATATTATTTTTAAAAAAAAAGGCATACATGATCTTGAAACTCTTTTGTTCCTAGAACCTAATCACAGCATAAACTCTAATCTCTCAGCTGACGCAGACTCATTTCTGTATTGTCCACACCAGGGGTCACACAGCCTCTGCTCTGGTTCCCATGGTTGTCCTGTGCTCGTCACCTTACCAGCAGTACATTTTCTACAAAAACCTCAACACCACCTCCTCAAATTTGCATTCTTTCAACGTGGAACTTCCTTGCCAAGGGTGTCTTGCTCTGTCATGGTTCTGTGCCTTTGCATGTGCCCTTCCTTTTGAATCCTGAAAGTCTCTCCATCCACTTGTCTACTAAGCAGACCCCTACCCAATGTGGCACCTCATCACAAATGCCCTGTCCCCTAGAAGCTCTCGCAGAGACCCCAGGGAAGATTTAGGGGCTTTTTGTCTTGGAACTTCCCCCTCGACCCCTCACACACATACAGACATATAGCTACTATCTTATCTCATATGTTTATACTCTCATTTCTCTCCACACTAGACTAAGTCCTTTGAGGGCAGGAACAATATCTGACCTTTGCAGTCTTAGTTAGCTGGTTCATTGCCCAGCAATAAAGTTTTGTTTAATAAGTAAATGTAATGAATGACTGAATTCTATCTGAACAACGTTATACAGGGGCATAGAAATGGGAGCTATAACCGCTGACTGGCTGCACAGACATGGTAGCATTTGGTGTGGGTATTAAAGGGCAAATATGAATTTATTTGGCAGAAGAAGGAAGGGGAGATTTGTAAACAAAAGAATAGCAATAACTAAGTCAGGGGTTAGGAAAACATATGACCTTCTCAGAGAGACACTGGCGGGTTTGAACTGCCGACCTTTCGGTTAGCAGCCAAGCACTTAACCGCTGCGCCACCAGGGCTCCTTAACTAATATGATAGGTCCAGTGGAAGACACAAAAGAAGTTAGGCCAGATGTAGGCCCGTGTTATGGATTGAATTGTGTCCTCCTAAAATATGTGTTGGAATCCTAAAGCTATACCTGTGGATGCATTAGAATTATGATGTTGGCGAAGAATGTTGAATGTACCATGGACTGCCAGAAGAACGAACAAATCTGTCTTGGAGGAAGTACAGCCAGACAGCTCCTTAGAATCAATAGTGGCAGACTTCATCTTGCTTGCTTTTGACATGTTATCAGGAGGGACTGATCTGTGGAGAAGGACATCATGCTTGGTAAAGTAGAGGGTCAGCAAAAAAGAGGAAGACCCTCAATGAGATGGACCAACATAGTGGCTGCAACAATGGGCTCAAACATACTTACTGTTGTGAGGATAGTGCAGGACCAGGCAACGCCCTGCTCTGTTATACATGGAGTCACCATGAATTGGAGCTGACTCAATGGATGGAATCTAATCTAATTTAATGTAATCATCTTCTGAAGTGCAGTCTAACATTATATAATCTATCAGTTTGAATCATTCTGGTGTAGGAGGGATCCTAAAAATAATCATTTCTGAGTTATATAAAGAGCAGCACAGACACATAGACATTCATGGAGAGACACAGGGGGAAAGACAGACCCTATGTGACAACAAAGGTGGTACATACATCTACAATCTCAGGAACTCCAAAGATGGCTGGCAGCTGCTAAAAGTTGAAACAGACCTCCTCCAGAACCATGCTCTAAATTCGGACTTCTAGCCTCCTGAACTGTGAGAAAATAAATTTCTGTTCTTTAAAGTCACCACTTGTGGTATGTGTTGCAGTAGCTGTAGTTAACTGATACAGACCAGGAAAATGTGCTAAGGAGTTTGGGCCCTATTCTGGACATAATGAAGAACCACAGAGGATTTTTGATTGGAAAGTGATGAGGTCAGATGTGTGACTTTTAACTGGAGATAGATTGAAAGGAAATTACAGAGTCCAGGCAAAGATACGTAATAGTCTGCTAGAGGGCAGCAACAATAGGACAAGAAAAACGAAAGTCACCTTGAGAAGCACTGTGGAAATTGGATCTAAAGGACTTGGCAACCAGCTGAATGTCAGAACTAAGGAACCAGTGAAGTAAAAGACAGATCTGAACCTTCTGACCTGGTTGCCTGGAAATGGAGTGTGGGGGTCAGGGTGGACTACAGAGGTGCAGGAGGCAACTTTCTGGGATGATGGAAATGTTCTCTGTCTTAGTTGGGTTGTTGGTTATTGGTTATAGGGGTGTATACATTTGTCAAAACGCATTGAATTGTGTACTTAATAGGTTCATGTTTTTGTATGTAAATTATTTCAGTATCTAATTTAGTATCTAAATAATGTTTATTTTAAAAGAAAAAAGAAGATATGGGGGAATTTTCGTAGATGGAGTCCGTGGGTGGCACAAATGGTTAAGCATTTGGCTGCTAACTGAAAGGTTGGCGTTTCGAACCCACCCAGAGGCACCTCGGAAGAAAAGCCTGGTGAACTGCTTCCAAAAAGTCACAGCCATGAAAACCCTGTGGAGTGCAGTTCCATGGGGACACACATGGAGTCGCCATGAGTTGGAATCAGCTTGATGGCATGTGGTATGGTTTTTTGGAGTAGATTCAGGATCATTTGTTCCTATTAAATTATTTTTGTCTCAACATTTTTGGGTTTTTACCTGTTTCTGGCCATTAACTACTTGGCAATCCCCACAGGTACACTCAAACAATTTTTTTCTTTTCCCATTGCTTCATGTTTAAATCTTAATAAAATTACAGTATCACCAGGTGAAATGAAATGCTGGCTCCCATTTTCCCTTCATTTCAGCACGTCTTTGTCTATATTTTGGGCACTGCCAGTAATATGTGTGGTTAATTGCAGACCAATAGTTTGTTGTAAAGAAAAGGGTCCTATTTTCTAGAGAAAGGTAGGGGTCTGCATATGTTACCTCCTAGTTCAGTAAGAGGAGCCCTGGTGGCGCAGTGGTTAAGAGCTCAGGCTGCTAACCAAAAGATCGGCAGTTTGAATCTACCAGCCACTCCTTGGAAACCCTGTGGGGCAGTTCTACTCTGTCCTGTAGCGTCACTATGAGTTGGACTCGACTCGAGGGCACACAACAACAGCAGCAGCATTACTGTCATTATTTTCAGTATTTGGAGAGTTACATGGTTTAGTAAAGCATACCAAATTAGAGCTCTGACACTAAAGAGTTAGTCTGAATTTCACTTTGTAGCTATATGTACTTCACTCTGCATGAAAGATGGAAAGTATGCAGGTGTGATCATATTTATTAAAAATGCATTAGTTTGAAAATGTTTACCTCATTTAGGGATAAAAAGGAAATGTGTTTATCTGGCTTATGGAAAGAATAGTCCTGGGACTACTAGAGAAAAAGAAATAATATTTATAGAAAACACCTGTACTTCTGCTGAGGGAAAATTAAGATAGTCTAATAAGAACCATTCCACCTCAGTTTTTTATTCACATGGAGTCTTTCTTCTTAACCTCCCAAATCAGTTTCAAAATGCCACATGCCTTTCTGGTCTCAATCATTCTCATGGTTTTATATATCTATAGGTTGAAATCCCCAAATCCATTTCCTTAGAGGCCTTTTTTCCTGACCTGTAACCTTGTCATTTCAGCTGTCTCTAAGGCCTTTCCTGGGGTCCCACGGGCACCTTAAATTTAGCATATCATAAGTTGAATGGTTTTCTTTCCCTTCCATGTTTGCTCTGGTTTTATATTGTTTACCTCAACAGTGGTCTCTCCATTGTAGCTGGGAACTTTGTCATCATTGACTTCTCCCTCTGTCTCCCTCCCCAAATCCAAGGGAAAGCAGTTGTTTTATTCTACCTTAGAAATGCCTCTTTCTTTTTTTTTTTTTTTGGCCTCTCTTCTGCACTCATGTTGCTGTTGCCTTGGTCTTCAGCTCTCACCACATCTAGACCGTTGAATCCACGGTTACCTAGCATTGCTCTCCTCCAGCACAACCCTGGCAGTGCCGCCAGAGGATTTTCCTCAGAAACTTTTCTGCCTATAACTGCCTGTGGCTCCTTGTTCCAGATCTTTGGCTTGGTCCTTCACAGCCAGGCCCCAGCTTGTTTCCAGCCTCACTCCTGGTGCTTCAACCCATGTATCTCAGACACGCTGTATATGTCTCAATGTGTTCCTGAAAGTGCCCTGCTGTGCTGTGATCATACGTCATTATACATAGTGTTTTCTCTTTCTGAAAGGCTCTTTCCCCGTTGCCCATCAGGCAAACTCCTTTTTATCTTTCAAAGCCAAGTTCCATCATCACCCCTCTGTGAAACCTGCTCTGATGGCTTTCTCACTCCTCTGCAGAGTTAACGTGATGAACGTTGCCAGTGCAGTGCCTCAGGTAGACCCCCTTCCTTCCTCTGCACCGTCATCATATGTTGCGTCTGCTTTTTTCTCCCCCTCATAATTTTCAGATTGTAATGTATTCACCCTACCCCAGTAGATGGTGAATTCCCCATGAACAGGTATCTTGGCATCTTCAGCATTGTACCGTCAGTGACTGATGCCAGTACAGGTTTATGGCTCAATAAGTTCTGTTGCTCAGGCAGTCTTTCTATATGTCGTGGTCATCCTTTTGATTTTAATTTTGTCTGTCTGTTTTCAGGTGGATCTATCTTAATGACCAGAATTTATGCATCCCTGCCAGTTCCTCATTTGTTTATGGAGCTGTGCCGATAGGAGCCAGTATTTATGTTATCGGAGATCTCGATACAGGTAAGAATGTTATGGTGATTTTGTTGAAACTGTTTTCCAGTGATTCAAAGGCACATTATCTCACCCTTGCTTATTGTTGTGTTTTAGGTACCAATTATGACTACGTGCGTGAGTTTAAAAGAAGCACAGGAACCTGGCACCACACAAAACCACTGCTTCCCTCTGACCTTCGTCGCACCGGTTGTGCAGCCTTACGTATTGCAAATTGCAAGCTTTTCCGCCTGCAGCTTCAGCAAGGCTTATTCCGTATTCGTGTTCATTCACCTTGAAGAGGAAGCAGAGCAGAAGCAGAGATCCTGACCCAAGTGCACCATAACATAACATGTCAGGGAGAACAGCGATAGCGGCTGAGATGGGCTCTGTGTGTTGTGCTTTGGTATGGTATCTCTTTGGTGGTTTGATAATGCTTAAAAGCTTGAGCTTCAGCTCTTGTTTGGGAGAACACGTAACTGTTGGAAAACTACCTGGGAGGAATCAGTTCCTCCAGTTAGATGTGTTAGTGGACAAATGGAGACTAGGTAATGTCAAAAGGAAAAGAAGCGAAAATTGATACAATGTAAAATATTGAAGTCAAGATACTAAGGTGCATTTTCCCTGAAGGGAACTTATATCTGACTGACTGCTGTGTTCAAGTACATGGCTGTGATATACAAAAAATCCGTATATGCAAATCAACATATCCAAACATACCAAGTTTGCTTTTCTACTGCACTTGGAAGGGAGTATTATGCCTAGCCCTGCCCAACAGATTAAGATGTGTGCCTAAAACATTAGATTGGACTATATGCCAATAAGTCTCCATTTATTACTAGTACTTTGTCCTGAGAATGTTTTTTAAACCGTATTATGACGAATTGAAACTAAGATAACAACATTTTCTTTTGTAACATTCTATCTTAGTGACCTAAGGATTCGATAAATTTAATGAGTCAGGTTGCAGCCCTCGCATGAACTTCAAGGAAGCTGCCTGTGTTCGTTTAGATTAAGATGCGTTCTGCCGTGATCTCTGGGGTAATACTTTTGGAGTTGTGAAGGATCTCATGCAGTGCCATTCTTCTCTTTTCAATTTATCAAAACCATTTTATAAGTATGAGGATATTTAGCAAGTAGGAAATTGTATAAAAGAAAGACCTGAGTCAGATGAATAATGAAAGTTTACTTTGACTTTAAAAAAAAAAAAACAAAAAACGTCCAGACAAAATATATGGGGATCAAAAACTTTTTAAAATAATCTGTCTGAAAGCACACAAAGTCTTGTTTACTGCTGTTTCAGGTTTGAAAACTTGTCTTAGAACGCAAATCTGTGTTAAAAAATCTAGTCTTTACAGTCGATTTTCCCAAAGCTGTTTATTAGTAAGAGTTTTAGACAAATTATGTTACGAGTAAAGTTTGGCTGGTAGAATAACTACCTCAACTTAATTTCATTTTGTTCCTAGTAGAGCAAACTGATCTTTTCCTTCTTCCCTCTCTTTTTCTGCCTTTTGCTCCTACCTTAACCCATTCTACCCCACCTCCCATCCTTTTGTTAGTGGAATTTATCTTTAACTAATATTTTAATACTTATTATTAAGGTATCCTGTTTTCCATTCAAATTATACCATCTCAGTGTGAAATCAGGGGCTTCAAAGTGCTTAATTACTTCATAATTTGAATTTTATGCAATGTCAAATTTCTGATCAATTTAATATATAATATTTCATTTTTAATTGTTTTCTACAGCATTTTTTCTCTTAGACTATGGCTCTAAGCAGCAGCATTTTGTCTTAGTGATTAATAAATGCGTAAATGTATCCTTTGGCTATAAATTGAAGTATAGGAGTTCCTTCTAGAAACTTCCTCTCTGGAATCTTTTTATGCTATTACCGTGCATATGAAACATCGCTTATGGTTTCACACCCATGAATAGAAAAAAAGGTGACCTATCTGCAGTATTTTTTTTTCTTACATCTGTTGGAGGTCACTGAGATTCTACAAAGGTTGCTGAAAGAGGCCATGGCCATGGGGTCCCACAGAATGTTGTATTCGGCATGCTAACTCTCCATTCTAGCCAGAGGATACTTGGTAAGAGAAGTAAGGAGGTTTTTGTTATATACCAGAAGTACTAGGCCAGATTTGCCAGACATTCGCCACACATTCATGGAATATAATCAAATTTGATATCTAAATCAAAGCCAGGTTTTTTTCCCCTTTTATTCTGTACCCACCAACTATTTTCTACCCATTTTCTCTGTGACACTTCGGATATCCTTTAATCAAAGCAAGCTACTTAGCCACTGCAAAGAAAAAACAATTTCTTTTTACCATTAGATATTAGTTTTAGAGGAAACAAATTGCTCAAAAGGTGAACTTTCCCTGGTGAAATATCCTGTACAGAACAGACCTCAGCATTCCAAAACTGTAGTTGAGGTACATTAAAAACAGTGACTGATATTTTGTTAAAGCCATGAGAGTCAGCATTCTCTTTTTTTATTTCTAAAAAATTCTTCCCAATTGCCAGGCCCCTCAAAAGGAGACTATTCATTGTTTTGGAGTGAATGGATTCCTAATGCAATATTCTCAGTGCCTACATGATTTGGTTAATTAGTTTTCTAAAAATAGGTTTTTTTTGTTTTTTTTTTTAAGTTTCTTGACACTGTAGCTGCAGAAATTAGATAATGTTTTATAAAATAAATTTGCCACGTAATACAGGATGCAATAACCAACAAAAGCTGCTAAGTGCCAAACTTATTTTAGTATATAGTATATAAATATAAAAATATTGTTTTGAAGTGTAGGGCTGTATTTAATTATGTTCCAAAAATCAATCTTTTTTTTTTGTAAATTATACTTATTTCAGTGTTGTGGAATAAATTTTAGCTCATTTCATACAGGTTTGTGTTTTAACATTCCACTTATGCCTTGAAACATCATTTCTTACTAACATTTTTGATACTTCTTTCTCCGTAAGGTACTTCTACCTGGTGTAAGTTGGAATTGGCAGCTGATGATAGGTCTTTAAAATTTTGCATGTAAGTATCTTTGGGGGAAAGTGCAGTTAATTTTCATTATCTTACCAACAGAAGGAAAGTTGTCTCAGGTTAAAGTAAGTGAATTTAAAAGTTCTCACCTAGGCTTTAGTCTAAAGTAGGTTTGTTTGTTTGTTTCTTTGTTTAATACATCCAAATATAGATTTTTTTTCTCAAAAATTTGAGTGTTTAATTTAAAAGGAAGTTTTTTGTTTGTTTTTGATAGTGCTTATAACCTGTGAGAGGAAAAAGCATGAGAGGATTGAGAGTGATGAGTGAGTGAATGAGTGTGTGTGTGTTTGTGTTCTGTGACTTGGTAGGTCTGTTTGTATATATTTACTTTTTGAATTGTGGCTCCAAACTACTCATGTTACTGTCTCCTGGTGCTTCAGATAAATTCTTGAGCCTGCTAACCTTCAGTTTATACTACTGTGTTCAACTCATGTTGAGTGTAAATGTTGAAATATTTGTAGCAAGTTTTACTTGGTGTTTGCATTTCTCATCTGTAGTAGGATTTTTTAAAAAGCAGTGTTTACCAACTAGTAAACACTACAAAGATTTGGCCTGAGAAATTTCCAAATTCATGTTTAGCTTAGTATTACATTGCTGTGAGGAGCTGATAGCTAACAGTAAGCTTTTTTCAAACTGTGCAGCAACTAAAAAAGAATATTTGGGGTTATGTTGAACAGTATATTGTTTGTATTGAAGTCTTATAGTGCACTACCACTTTAATGATGGTACTTTCTTCACTGTTGGTTTGGAAGTGCCATTTTTATAATTTGTAAGTTGAGGGGAGTTCCTCAGGCAGTATACAAGTAATAAGTTCTTTGTATTGACATGGCAAAGATAGGACTCTATGCTGTGACACCTAAGTTACTCCTGGATAGTTAGGTTTTTAGAGAAATATGTTAACTACCTTGGTCCATTGGGGTCCATTTGGTACATTCCTGCTTCATTGTACCAAACCAACGATCCCAAAAAGATTTCCAAGGAGTACTAAAAACACTGAAGTATTGCCTTCTAGAATGTTGGCTTCTTTTGTAAAAGAGGAGGCCTACCGAGGTCAAATGATGACATCTGATTAGCTGGGCAGAGAATGAAGTGGCACTTTCATTGTATCGGTTTCCTGGTGGAAGGGAAAGATGAGGCTGCTCTCTTTGGATAGCTACCCCTTGAGCCATGGGGAGCAGTAGGAAGCAGTGCAAAAGGGGACTGTTCAGTGCAGCAAAGCCTGCCCTGGGCTCTTCCACAGTGTTTATTGTGTGCCCACTGTGTGGGACTTCTGGGGGAACTTACCTATGAGGAAGATGGAATAGCACTGCCCTCCCTGTCTAGACTGTAAACTCCCTGTTTGCAAGGACTGTAATTTATCTGCTAATCTCAATGCTTGGCACATGGTAGGTAGTCACTAAGTGTTTGACGAATGAATATATTATGTTTGTGATCAAAGTGATATTCTTCAGTGGATTAAACAGTACTCTCCAAGAGTGACTCATTTTATGGATTTTAAATGAGAAACTGTGTACACAGATGGGCTGGCCTCCTACTATAAAGTGGGAAAATAGTATAAAAGGTACCAAGTGCCTGATGTATATGATGCATAACCCTGTGGTCTCCATATGTCCTATAGGATTTTTGAGAACCTACACTTAGCACACCTAGTGATGTTTATCACCTTTCATGTTGGGTTTTATCTTCTGCTTTTTATACGGGGATCAAAATCTTTTCTAGGATGTATGCTCTGATCCCCCCATCTCTGTGATGGGTGGGGTGCTGTCCCTATTGACAGAGAGAGCAGCCCTTAAAGCCCAGTTCAGTGATTGGATGTGAGCATAAACCAAAAGCGATATCCAGGTCTTTGGATCATCAGCTCACTGTTCAGCCTATTAGACTGTAACTTAATTTTCTAGGCAGACAGGTATTTTCTTTTTAATCATAAAGTAATTGTTTGTAATATAATTTAAGCATCCAGAATATCCCTTGCCAAGTCACACAAATATAAACTGAAAGAGCTTTGGCTTTCTTTGTCAGTTAGCAATAGGGAACTTAAGAATTTACTAAAGTCATAAGAAGGACAAAAGTAAATGTGTTTGACAGAGAAGGTGTTACTACTTTTAAAGAGCTGAAGCTTCATTTCTACTCCTTTCTTACCTCCTGTAATCAGTGAGGGAAAAGAAACTGTCTTGGAATGTCGAGGAGAGTATTTTGCTAACTTTCCCAATGATCCCAGAAGTATTCTTTACAGTTGGTTCAGACATTATGGAAACTTGTGGTAGGGGAATGAACCATGTGTTCATATTTACGAAGAACTTGAACTCAGGCGAGTGTTTGTCATGCCTGCTGGCAGTGAAATCTCAATAATGTTGAACTATTTTTTCCATGTTTTTGGCGAGCCAGCTGGTAAAACTTTTGAAAGTTGTGTTTTTCAGGAGTAATTATATTATTTAAATTTTAAACATATTTCAACGTTTATCTTATTGTAATAGTTCCACTTATACAAAGTATAAGGAGCTTGATTATGATTCTAAATTCTTTGGTCTAATGCATACAGTTTAGGCAAGTTTGTTCTTTTTCAGTTCTCTCATAAAGTTCTCAAGTGATAGGACTTTTAAACTCCTTCCCTTTCTCATGAAATCAAAAATCTAATAAATAAAACTATGTTGCATAATTATTTAGTGAGAAATGCCTTTTGTTATATGTTTTATTTTGAGATAAAACCTACTTATTAAACTGCTACTCAGCTGAAATTTGGACTGAATTTTTTATATTAATTTCCTCATAGCCTGACAAAGTTGTTGACCTTCCTGTCCTACATACATTATAACCAAACTGCAAGTAGTAGATTCTGAGATGACTGGTATTCGAATTAGAGAAGGTTCCGGAAGGAACGAGGTGGTAGCCCCCAAGGACTGGGTACAACCTGCCTAAGATGAGGTGGGAATGATGAGCCCATTAATGTGATCCATGTAAACAAATGGCCTCGTCAGATCTTTCAAATACCAAGTAAGTGTTTGTAAGTTCATCTTTCTTTCTGGTTAGGGAGTTATATTTATTTATTAGGGCCTTATTTCTGTACAAGTAGTAGGTCTTAAAGTACCTTATTTTGTTCTTGCTCATCAGTTACAAATAACATGTACGTTAGAACCTTGGGTTAAATGTTTTAAAGTCATACCAACGAGCTTGGTTTCAGTAGAACTGTATGCAGCTTGCTTTATCATGTTTCCTGTTTAGTTGGATGAGAACTACATCTGTTTATTCCCTTGTTCTTTGTGTTTAAAGGAAAAACTCTGTTCTCAGCTACCTCATTATGTAGTGTTGTACTTGATCCCCTGCCAACTTAGAAGAATTCAATACATTCTATCCTTTAACAAAAGCCTGGAGGCAAGCAGTAAGCAGCCTTGAGGAATACAATTCTCTAAGGCGTACTTTCCATTTTACTACCTTTTTTGTTTGTTTGTTTGTTTTAAATACGCACTTTTAATCAGGAGGAACAATGATTCTTCTAGAGCTGCTGCAAAGTGATTACTTGAAACTCAACTTGAACTTTATTTTAAAGAGTCTTTAACAGACTGTGTTTCCAAAACGTAGAAAAGTAGTATATTTAAACACAACTGCTGTGTAAAATAGAGGGCTTAGTTTCCATTCTTGTTGGAATCAGATGGAAAAAGTTGTCTATCTGTAATTTGACCCAGTGTTAAGAATTTAGGTGCCTGGGGCTATTAGTTTCCATTTTCTTTAAGGTGTTGTTGTAAGCAGTTTAAGGATCTATTAGTGTATTTTTATGAATGTGTTTCCCGAGAATCTTTAATTCTGATGAAAATATAGACACGTTGCTAAGTTCCTCTTCTCTTTTAGTCCTGATAACCCTGTTTTAAAATGAAACTGCAAGTGTCTCCTAAGCACAGGGTTGGGGTTGGCCTGACCAATAGGATTTCCTTCTACTTAAAGTCAGGAATCATGTGATTTGTTCTGTGGGCCAGTGGAGCACCCTCATCATCTTCCTCCATGTGCCTTCTCCACATGTACATATAGAGTCAGTCTTCTCCAGGGTCTGCCAGTTTGCCTGGTCAGTGAGTTAGGAGGGGCAAAGGAGGCTCATTAATCCTTGTGAACAAACTGTCCCTCCTGGGAGTTACTTCATGTAGGAATCCCCACGTTTCAGGCACAGTTTTACACGCCAACTTAAGTGGAGGACTTCAGTGATCCTTAGTGGCCAAAAGAATTATGCCTGTTTCTAAAAACCTGGCATACTAGGAATAACTTACTTACCAGGTAAAATCTCAAACTAACTCTCTGTATACATTAAGGTTCCTTTTTCATGCTTGTGCTTTTTAGGGTAAAAGGCTTGCCACTGAGAGTGGAATGGCAAAGTTTCCACTCAAGTGGCAGTAAACTAACCCTAGCTTTATCTAGCAGTGGGACCAGACACATTTCCTGTAAGTGGTTTTCAGGAGAACTAAGGCATTCCCCTTTAAAGCCCCACACTTTCTTATTGTAATTATTTTGAGGAAAACATCTGCAAATATTTGATATGCTTTCCTGAGTGAACCTAGCAGTTAAGAGCATAGGCTTTGGTATCAGGTGAATCTGGGCTTGAAGACTTCAACCACTTGCTGTTTTGAGACCTTCGGAAACTCAATTAACCCTGAGTCTCAGTTTCTTATCTTTAGAAATAGAACAACAGGGATATTTACCTCATAGAGCTGTTGTGAGGATTCACAGAAGTAATGAACGCAAAAAGCCAGACAGTGCGTGTCACAGGTGGTGGAGGTGGTTATAATCGTGGCCTTATGTCTCAGTCCCGTTGACTATGTCATCTGTCAACACAGGAGGTCCTGGAGGGTCTTGCCTTCACGGAGTAGCCCTGACTGAGGGGATTTCTTCACTTTCTTGTCTGCCCTTTAGTATTTCCTGGCTTTTCCCTGCTAAAGGTTTTGATAGCCTTTTACTGCTGGCAGCCCTCCTTCCTGGAGCAGCCCCTGTGTTCCTGGACCCTCCTCGGATGCAGACAGCCCTCCCTAGCAGTATTCTGAGCAACCTATTGAGTTTTAGAATTTTGTCTAAAACAGGCAAGCTCTAAGTGAGGTCAGAGGCGTTCTCTTATGAATGGCATGTTCAGTTGAAATTGGATGGACTCAAAAGACCTGTTTTGGCTGTCTTGGGGCCTTTTGCTGATGTCTTATTCATAACTGTGTTTGCAGGGAGTTGTCATGAGCTAAATAAAGAACTACCAAAAAATTAAGTTCAAACTGTAGCTGAAGAATAGGTGGTTGAGGGATTTTCCAAGATTGTCTCAGTTTATACATTTTTACAAATGTGTGGTGAGTTCTAAGTATCCATTGTTCTTTACTTCCCACATGCAGGAGATTGTTTATTTGTACACAAAAACACCTGGCTAATGCTTGGAAAACAGTGAGTTTGTTTCAAATTCTGAGAATTCTTCTGCGTAGAAAAACTATTTAGGCCCTTAGATAGTAGTGGGAAGAGAGAAACATGAAATAACGCATGTGATTGAGATGTTTTCCCCTGTTGGTGGCCCAAGGAGAAAATATTATGATAATTATATAAAACTAGTCATTTAAAAAGAAGAAACCACTGTGTTCCAACACAGCTATTTAATCCAGGCTGTGTAGGTTTAAATGTGAACTAGTGGTCCAGATGCTTTTGGAAGCACCAGCCTCCACAGCTTTTGAAGAGGTTGATAATTTGGCTGGCTGGCTGTTCCTTTGAAGGAGGAAGGAAGCACTGCAGCCAACATCTATGGCTGGGCACCCACTGTGTCCCAGGACTCGGCTCAGATCACTGCAGGCACCCTCTCTAACCCTTACCTCAACCTGGTAAGGGTCCATGTTCTGTTCTTCATTTTACAGGTAAGGAAAGCGAGGCTAAGAGAAGCTCAGTAATTGTGTGTGTGTCTTCTGGCTGCAGAACCCCTGCTTTGTCCATTTTGTCTTTTGGATTCATTGATCTAGGCACAGAGCCTGGATATATGAGAAGGAAGGACCTTAAAAGATTTCTGTGAAACCTTGGGAGTAGAAAGCGTATTTGAACGTTCAGACTCCACATAAGATACAAATAAATATATAGATGTGTTATAAAATTATTTATTTCTGGACCTGTGCCATTGCTATCCTTCTACATCTCTAATGTTTAAATTCAGGATAATTCAAGATAGCGAAAGCATCCAAAAATACACAGTTAGAATATGGACTTATTATAAATCACCCTGGATTCAGAATTTGCTTAATGAAGTCCTCTAGTAATACTTGAAACTTTTTACCAAAATGAAGTTTTCCCCTTTTTTCCCACTAAAATATCAAAGGTATTAGTGTATATTGGTCAAATAAATGGGATATTTAGAAAAAATATCTGAGATCAGGAGACCTAAACTATGCTTGCTTTCTTATCTTGGATGTTATGTGAAACTTAAAAACAAGCAAACAAACAAACAATTTGTGTTACAAGTACTTGTGCATATGAAGAACTTTCATACCTTCAGATAAAGAAGGGGTATTTAACAAA